AGTTGCCCAGTAAGCAAAATGTGCGGGTTCGAATCTCGTCTGGGGCGGAAGTTTTGTTCACAACACAGCATTCTTACAAAATATTACTTCAATGTTGTTAAAGGTACGCTCTCATGTTCAGATGTGTATGGATACCACCTATCGGCCGTGCTGCCAACAGCTCTCGTCCGAATGTCCGACAACCGTACAACTTGGATTTCAGTGTTATGTAGGTGGTTCAGCAAGCAACACAATGAGTTGGAGTTTTCGTATGTACTAATATCGGTACTTATAGGTGAACACGCCCACGAATTGGTGTCGTCAAAATGATGACTGTCGTGGAAGGAAGTGCTGCCCTACAGGGTGTAATTATAACGTGTGCATATGAGAACATTTGACATCTTCATACTATGATTATTATTATTATGTGAATAAGAGAAAACATAAATATTTGCTTTGATCAAACAGAAGTATTTGTTTCTTATTCGTATGTGAATTTCATCGTTGAAAAAAATGAATGTGCAAGAATTCGTAATACAGGGGGGGGTAATAAAAACAGACATTTTGCCTCCAGACTCAATTGGATTTAATCTCTTGTCAGCTCAAAGCATGTGCTCTCAACTTAGAATTGAGAGAGCGCATTTCATTTCCATGAGAAAATCATTATAGTGGCCATCAACGTGGAGACGGCATCAAAAAAGTTCACCCCGGAAACACGGTGCTCTGGTCGAACTCAATGGGGTTTCTCGAATGATCGTGTACTGTTGCGACGGGTTCCGTTCCGCGAAGGGCGGGTTCCGAGGAGGGCATTGCATAGTCAGAGCTAATTCCCTAGGAAACTATCCCACGTTGAAGCGATCCAAGAAATTATGTAAGAGCTTCAGGATGAAGCAGTTACTGTATGGCCTCCTGAGCTCGACGACGGTGACAGATGACGTCATATTCTGAAAGACAGGTGGAGAGGGTAGTGAAGGAGAGCCTGCGTGTAGTTTACGCAGAGGGACATTTATGGATATTTTGCTGAGGACCTTCCTACGATCTCTTTGAAGAAAAAAGGCCGAAGTACGACTTGGGCAAAATGTCCTCTTTTTGGCCCCCTGTATAGTAAGTGGTCGTCGACCAGTTTTCTCTAAGTGCGCTAGCAATCGCCTTTCACTCCGGATCGTAATCAAAGCTAAAAGGATAAAGTCTTTGTCATTGATCAGTCCTGTTTTGGGATGCGGCACGCATTCTCCTCGACTTACACTCGCGTAGTGGCCTTTGAATGCTATTGGGCCTATACAATCCTAAGCCAACAAATACTTACTTCTTGTCATTCGGGCTGCGATGTAACAAGAGTAAGTATTTTTTTTTATCCACCCATACCAAACCGCGGAACTGATTAAAAAACCGACGCTTGTCGAGATGGAAGGTGCGGGATCAAATCCTGCTGTAATCGTGGACGACACACGACCAGGGTTCGATCCCTGACCGCGGCTATTGGTAGGAGCGCTTTGGCCACTGACCAGGTCCGATTCTCAAAAGTTATGCAGAATTGTAATAGCCTTTGAAAGATTGTTTATACTGTGTAATGTCTTTTGATGACAAGCCACCTTGTACGTTGGTATTCATGTTTATCCAAACGGGTCCACAAAATTAATCGAACTCGAAGTACGTAAATAGCATTCGGGCGCACCTTGGTTCCGAGAATCATAGTTACGAGCGCCGCCCTAGACATGCGATGGATGGGGCCACATTTTATACTACCTTTGAATTTGGAGCAAGAAATTTGATATAAGCATGTGCTTCATTGAGCATTGAACTTGTTGAGAACCATTTTTTTTTTGAAGGAAAATCGATGTGAACGCAAATTATGCAACACCTTGGAGAAGAACAGGCTACAAGGGAGTGAAATGATCAGACGAACCGGTGGCCGCTGGTGTAAATTTCCTTAACAGGATCGATCGATGGCCTGGTTTGGTCAGTTCCAGCCATTGAATGATAACGAAATTCAGTCAAGGACGTACAGCAACTCTGTGAACATCGAAGAATTTGCCACTGTTTGATTGCCGTCGGAATGAGTGTGACGTTCGATTTCCACGGCAAAAAAGCGCTCGTCACCGGAGCCAGTCAAGGTAGGAGAAATTTACACTTCAACAAGAACCTATTATCCTTTGAACTCTTCGAATTCATTTACTATTTTCCATTCGCGTTTTATTTTTTTTTGTTGTTTTTTTTCATTTTCATTGATTCCTTCTGAATTTCAACCATTCAGGTCTCGGTTATGGCATAGCAGTTGCTCTCGCTAAAGCTGGCGCTGAAGTGGTAGCCTTGGCTAGGAATGAAGCAAAACTGGAAGAATTGCGTAAGGAGGTTAGGATGTATTTCGTCAATTTTGATGACTGTGTTTGCTTAATTTATGAGCACACTCCGCTACACTCCATTTAAAATACTCAAACCCATTGTATTTCCGCTAAGTTGAAGGCACAACCCAGGCAAGGTCGTGTGAACGCTTCCTTCGGTCTGTAGTATAGACCCCTAGAGGACAATCACAAATGTGGCGTTCCCGTGCACGGAAACCAACCGACAAGAGCGCTTGGGCCTTGCAAAGTAAGCTGCTGAAGCTGCAGATTTTTTTTCTTATCAGGCTGTTGTCTGGCGCTCTCTCATCTGTAGCGCTCTCTCGCCTCATACTCTCCTCTCCGCGCTTAGTCTCTCATTCCCTTAGCACAGCCGATTAGGAAGGTGAGTGAGCCCTTAACCTGAGCGTTTTCGACGGATTCTTTTCCTTTTTTCTTACTGCCGGCCCATTTCGCACCAATACATTCGCATTCGTGTGCAAGAGCCACACCAATGTGATCCTGGGGCATGCCTTTAACAATTTTTGGAAAGGCTTTTAGAAACGGAACAGGTTTTAGGAGTTATTTCTCGACGAACTACATAGGTTTGAGAGATGGAAACAGAGTTCATGCCTGGTTCATCAGTAATTGAGTAAGCAAAATAAGCTGTGGAAAATCCTATAAAATTCGGTCGTTATATCCGCGGGTGGCTTCAGAAATTTCACTAATAACTAATGCGATTGAGGTGATCCTAACATCGGCCTTCAAGCAGAGTACTCAGAAGTGCCATACATATTGGGTTGTCCCATAATTCCTGTCCGAATTTCAGCACTATTTTCTCTCTAAAATCTACCTTTCTTGAAAATCAATCGGTCAACTATACAGGGTGGCTTACTAAATATTGGCGCATGGTTTATTGACCATATTTTTGCAAAGAGAAAGCTATTACATATTCAGAAGTTTATTTTTATATACAATAAAACATAATGCATTACTGAAGAAGGTGCTCGAAATGGCCTCCTCGGCAGCGATACAGGCTTCAAGTCTCTTCTCAACTGACATCACCGTGGGCCGCAAGTAAGTGACGTCAACGTGACGCGAGAAGATCTTCACACTGGAAGTGGCGCACAATTCTCAAAAGGACAGGCAATTGTTGGATCCGGCTAGCAGGCATGTGCGACGTAATTCCGTTCTTGCCCCGGTTAGAAGGACATGCCTTCGACGTTGGGTGCACAAATGGAGCCGATTTGCAAAATCTATCATAGTTTGGGCAGGAACCAAAACAAAACATTGAAACCAAAACATCATTAGCCTTTGTGGAAGAATCCGTCAAAACCAACGCCCAGATCTACCAGGAACAATTCACATGATGTGCTCCTTCCGTGGACTGTTTCGACCTTCAGCGAACGTCACTGCATTCTTCAACAAGGCTGGCCGTCTACACATGACGCAAAATCTCACTGGAGTTTTTTGTGACCGTCATTTTCCAGATGTGTGACCATCTTACTCTCCCGATTTTTTACCCAGATGATGTGATGTCAAGGATGCCTTCTGCGAAATACCGAAGTTTGGAATCCCTGAAGGCTTTATTGGAGAAGACATGGAAGGAACTCGACGGCAGCTTCTTGCGGCCCACGGCGAAGTCAGTTGAGAAGAGACTTGAAGCCTGCATCGCTGTCGAAGGAGGCAACTCAGAGAATCTTCTGAAGTAATGATTTGTTATGTTCTACTGTATGCAAAAATATACTCTGGAGATTTGATAGCTTTTCTTTTTGGAAATATGATCAAGAAACCTTGCACCAATATTTAGTAGCCACCCTGTATAACAGCTAGCATAATCACTGATATGTACCCATTTAGTGGTGAGTAAGTGGATGCAATTCTCCCACAATTAGTAGAACTAGGAGTTGAAAATTTCACAGAGGTCGGTTTCGAGGAGGCGATAGTGCATGACCTTTTTTCTGTTGAAGTTGCTACTTCAGGGCGCTGTCGAGGGGACAGCCCGATGGGTGTCAGGGCCATACGATGGATGTGCTACCGTGGTCCAGCCAATTCTCTTTGAAACGTCTCGTCTTTGCAATTTGATTTCTGGGTGGCTATCCTAGAATAGGACTTTAAGACAATTCGAACCATTCCTCGCACTGCAGTGGCCATCCTCGGAAGCTTTTCCGCAGTCACCTTTGCAATGCGTGCCTGCATGCAGTCAAGCAGTTCTCACCAGAGGACATTAAGCGAATCCATCGAACCGAGAGTAATATGCTCCTATGACAGTGCTTTGGTTTTGGTTGATATGGTGGGTCTTGTAGGTGAAGCAGCATAAGGCGTACCATGGATTGTTGTCGTGGTGGACTCAGGACTCATCTAAACTTGTGGTCATCTAGGGAAAGCTTTGTTTGTGCGATGGCAAAACAATATTTCCCCGGATGTGTCAGGCGCGGTCAGCGTCACGGTCGGCCCGGCGACAAGTGGTGTGGTGCCTTGCGCTTTCCCAAGCAGGCGGGGCGAACATTGGGGCTCGTACCCTCTTTGCTGATCCTGTCGAGCCAATACTTCCGTGCCCGATCAGTAGCAGGGACCGGATAACACAATGCTGGTCGTGCCTACTGCGCTCCTTGCAAGGTTCGACTTTGAAGGCAGCGATTACAATAAAGAGGGAACGCATCGGGAAGCATTTGCACCGCACGAATCAGGTTGCTCGGCTGCCAGAGAAGCGAGGTATAGCGCTTTCAAGGTTCAAGGTGCGCGCTGGTTGCTGAGCAGGACTACGAAAGCACTCCGCCCATAAAAGCGATCCGCCCACTAGTTAAGTTGGACGAGCTGCGTGGCCAGCCGCGGCACAACCGAAGCAACTTGACTGAAGCATGGAATGGCATCACCAAACGCGCCGCGCTAAACTCGCTCATATGCTCGCTTACTGAGCTATCACCTGTTCATGAGTGAAAAACCAAGGCCACAAAAGGGGATCCCATTTTGCGATTTCTTTATGGATTTCTCCCCTTTTTCGCTCTAACCACTACCTCTCTTCACCAGTCTCCTATGAACCCTTCTTGAGTCTGTCGTAATTACAGCCTTTGAATGGTCGTAAAGCGGTTTTGGTCGTTGATCATTTCGACTTATATGAAGCTATATATTTCCTTGCGGAAAAGAAAAAATCAAATCTAAAATCACCTTGCTAAAGACCTTGATGCATTCGTCAACATCCATACTGACATATTTCACAATGACACTGGTTTAGGTGAAGAACAACGTTTGTACAAAGTCGGGCAGGAGTTATGGGGCAACCCAATACATTGCAGCGTTTCCTGAAAAAGGAAACATCACATCACGATGTGACCCATAACCCATGCAAGACAACATAAAAGCATACAAATACAGTGCGATGCAAAATTATAGGACACCTCCAAAAATATGAATATCTCGGCTTCTAAAAAGGCCGTCTGTGCAACTGGTAGGAATCAGAACCGCCTCTATGAAAAAACCTATACAAACAAGTAGCCAGATCATCCGAATAGTTTTCCGTATTTGTAGACAATTTGATTTAGTTTTGCAGTCGTTGCAAAATCATAGGGCACCCCTCGAGAGCAGGGTCAACCCTATCGTTGTTACTCTTCGGAAATTTTTTACGACCCCCCCCCCCTTCATGGGTGATTTGATACGACCCCCCTTGTATGTAACACTTGTGTAGAGGCAGTGTTGCCATCACTATTTATTGCTACGTAAGTCCCTAGCCTCCTGACGGTGGAGCGCATTTGCTCACGGTCAAGAGGCGTCGAACGGGGAGTGTGAAAATTCGAGGAGTTTTTCTTTTTTACATTTCAGGTAGTTCGGAAGATTTAGGTGGATTTTGGATCGATGTGGCTCCTCCTTCCTAACGAGTGCTCATTTGTTCTCAAACACTTCGGAATGAATAAGTTATTAGGCAAAAAATAAAATTGAAACACAATTTTTACACTCCTCTTTCTAGGGCTATAACTTCCTTCATATTCGAGCTTCTGCGCCGAAGTGATTTGATTTGGAAAATTCAAATTATTCTCTCTCCAACCATGTGTAAAAATTCTTCGAAAGTTAATTTACAGTTGATATCCGTAAGTTGGGGTAGGCGGGGCTATGGACGTAATTGCAGACTACACAAACTTGATAGTTGGCCTTCGAACAGGTGTCTGTGTTTTTATGATTTCCCCGCGACTCGTACTTCCCCTGTTCTGTACTGATATTCTGCTCACTCAGGTCCAATTCAGAAGAACGCAGGTTAGTTTGGAAGAAAATAATGCTCTTATCCATTTGAAATGCACGATTTTTTGCATGTTTTGCATGAAGCGAATATTATTGCTAGACATCTCGTTGTTTTTCATTTTGATTTTTCAGTTCGACATTGCGCGGTTGTCTTCTTTTTTTTTCGAGGTGCACAGCATTGCGGTGTTGTTAAATGGTTTCCTCTTTGTTGTGCGGAACAATATTTGCTTGCTGCTGTTTTGAAGCAACCCGTCGCTTTTGTGCATGTCGTTTTCCAGGTCCACGCTGCAGTCGCCGTTCCTTCTGCTTGTTGTAAGATTTCTTTTTTATTTTTCAATTTACCTTTTTGTGTCGGGCTTGTTCTTCATCACAGCATCTTTTAAATGTTCCCTTTGTTGTTTCGAGCGCCTTGCGCGGAGGCGATCGCTGTACTTGAGGAACATCGAGGAAGCAATGAGGAGAGGGGACTGCGTAGTGTACATGGACGAGACGTGGGTTTTCGAGGGTATGGTTAAGAAACGAGGCTGGATGGACAACACCTGTCGCGCTTTCCCTCCGAGGAAACCATACAGCAGTATTCCTGTGGCAAGACTGCTGGGAAGAATAAAGGGAAGCGCGGCATCGTTATTATGGCGTTGTGTGAAGGTGGAATCATACCCGGCTGTACCCGCGTTCGTCTGTGGACCCCGAACTGCGCAGTATTCAGAGATGGACCACACGATTTTTGAAGAATGGCTGCGATCGTCAATCCCCCTGATGAGGGAATTCGCAGCTGGTCGGAATGTCACTCTAGTACTCGACAATGCACCTTACCATACGAGGGTACTAGAGAGGGTAAGTTAAATTTTGTACACACTATTAAGGCTGTGTAAGTTGTGTTCATTAGGTTCCGACCAGGAGCTCCACGAGGCAGGAAATCATGGACTACCTCGCTTCACATGGCATCGAAGTGGCCCTTGACAGTACAAGAGCTTCTCTTTTAGATGAGGTTCGTTAGTTCATCAAAATGAACTCATCTACTCCCCTGTAACGCCAAGTTTAGCTGGACCTCTTCGTTGCCAGTCGAGGGGGAGTCTCAGCCCTGCGCTCGTATGCAGCCGAGAGAATATGTGAGGAGATGGGAGTGAGCCTGCTCAGGCTGCCTCCATTTCACTGCTTCTTTAATCCAGTGGAGCTTGTGCTGGAGTTACCTCAAGCACCGACTCAACAAGTTGGGAAAACCCACAGATAGGCTGGAAACAGTAACGTTTTTCTGAAACACGTTTAAGATAGAAATGATGAAATCTAAAGAATTATAATTTTAGGTGAGGAATAGGGCTGTTGAAATATTGGGAAGCATACCGAGGAGCCTCTGTGAGGGATGGTGCTGGGATGCAATTAAGGAGGAGGATTCTGCACGAATGAAAGAGGCATTGGATGCCAATAATAACATTATTAACAGTGACGAGATACTCTCTCCACCAGGGAATTCATCTGATAGTTCGCTGTCAGATGAGTCGCTAGGCGAACCTATGTAGAATTGTAATTATTTTTTTTTTTTCCTGATATGTTTATATTCGGGTAATACCGTGAGTTCATTGATATCGCGATACACTCGAACGGGTTTACAGCATTTATGTTGATTTAGCAGCTATTACTATGTTGAGTTCGGGTTTTTAATAACTATCTCATTGCCTATGGTTTCTTAATATGCATTGTTTATTGTCGAGAGACCACATTCTGTAAAAACAGAACATGGGTGAAATATATTTATCGCCAATGGAAAGCCTGATATGCCACGAAAGGGTGAAAAGGACATCACAGAAAACAAGACATAGGAAAATATGGCTCACAACAAATAAGAACTTATTAATGACAGAAAACCTACAGCGAAAATGAAAAGCGACAGAAAGAGGAAAAAGTCCGTGCAACATGCTTTTCAGGTGCAGCTGTTATTAAAAATATAATATCAGGGGAAACCACAGAAAGCAAGACACAGAAGACAGCAAGACGGCTTACACAAAACAGTGTTTGTTAGTGACAGAAAAACTGCAGCGAAAATGAAAAGGGGCAGTAAGCGGGAATCTGCATCGATTCCTCATGCACCACATGCTTTTTTAGATACAGCGATGGCCGCACCAAGAACGACCTGGAAAACGACATGCAAAAAGCAACGGGTTGCTTCAAAACAGCAGCAAATACTGTTCCGCACAACAAAGGGAACATTTAAA